CAATATTAATGCCATGCCCTAAGTATGCAAGGTAACACTAAGGTATTTGTCACTGTTTGCATACATGTAAAACTGCTAACAAAGATAAAATCAGCTCCTATATGCCGATAAAGAAAACACAGGTAAATAAAAAGATGAGCAAAGGGTCTGGATAGGCAATTTATAAAGATATATAGGAAGAAAAAAACCCACAAAGTAACAGTTTCTAGTACTGTTTTCTAAGTAAGCTATTTTTAAATTCTTTCTGAAAATATTATTGTGACTTCAGCCTATGTTTTCAGAGCAAAGATATGCCACATATTTACTTATGACTAGAAAACAAGTTAATCTTGTAATCCAAAATTACACCTCAATCTACCAAATGCTCCAGTGACATTTACAAGTAAATTTATATTCTGAGAAAGAAAGTAACATTTTTCCCAGAGTATTTTCCATCTATTAGAACAGGCAGTAACATTCAACAAGTTAACAATCACACAATGATTACGTCAAAACCTTGGATATCAGTTAATGTGTGCTGTCTTATCAATGGTAATAAAAACATCTATTGAAATTAAAATGCCACATCATTTTACAAAACCTTTATCTCATGTCTGAGCAATCTGAATATAATAAACTTCTCTGCCAGGAAAATTGCCTTCTAAATGTAAAAATATATGTATCTTTTTTTGATATAAGAAAGTGTTTCAAAAAAAAGAAAAAATGTTTCAGAAAACCTGGAGAAAAGAACCCACACAATTCCTAAAACCAGAAATTATAGGGGTGCCTGGGTAGCTCAGTCAGTTAAGCGTCTGCCTTCGGCTCAGGTCATGATCCCAGAGCCCTGGGATCAAGCCTGCATTGGGCTCTCTGCTTAGCAGGGGAGTCTGTTTCTCCCTCTCCCTTTGCCCCTCCCCCTCTGCTCATGCTCTGTCTTTGGCTTTCTCTCTCCAACAAATAAATAAAATCTTAAAAAAAACACAGAAATTATAATTATATATACTTTCTGAAAGCTTATTACTTTAACAATAAAAATTTCAACTCCAAATTTAAGACTAGATTGAAGAAGTTTTCAAATTTTATCATATATCCAATCACCTAATACAGAACTTTTAAACTTTAATAATTTATAATGTCATTGGTTACTATGTTATCAATATGAAAAGAAAAATAATGGTTGGTTAAGTCCATACTATGGCACAACTGCCAAGTTACAAGTAATCTGGTTACAGGCCACCTTGTTTTCAGGGCTAAATATGACTAAGCTACATTAAAGTGATAATATTTTTGTGTTCACATACTTTCCTTTGACATCTGTAGACTTTTAAAATCAAAACATTAAACTATCTACAATAATTTAGGAAAAAGAGAAAAAAAAAATCCCAAGATATAAGGCAGGTTAACACAAACATGTGTTTTGCAACAATTAGGAAAGACCATGTTGTTTAAACTGGTTGTGTTGAAAAATCCTAAATATGGACAAGAAGGGAAACATAAATACATTCCGATGGTGGATCCTGTTTGGATTAAACTGTTGTAAATTCCTTTATCAAACCTGTGCTACATTCAAAGTTTTAAATACTTGACAGCCACTTTTCCGTTCTGTAAAAAACACTACCACGGGGGTCTAAGGATTATATTAGAGAATTTATTTAAGAGCAATCAACACACTGCCTGGTATACAGTTTCATTTAAAAACAAGCTAAAGAACTAACCCCAGAAACAAACCGAAACCAGTACTAAATTTGCTAGACACAGTATACTGTGCTAAGAATTGTCAATAGCAAAGTCCAAGAGAAACATAAGATGTGATTTGTGTCAACTTAAAAATGGCTTTCAAGTTGTCAGTTTTTTTTTACCATTTGTCCCACAGGAGGAAAAATTAAAATAATTTTAAAAATTAAGAAAAAATAATAAAAAAAACCCAAGGTAGGTCTGTAGGTAGTAATACAGAAAGTTCATCATTAAATATTAAATTAGGGCTATTTTCAATAAGATAGAAGTCTGTATGGAAAACAAGGAATTAAAGAATTAACAGAAGATCTGTAAGTAAAAAACATTTAGAAGATGCAGGTTTCTACTTCCATTAATGCCAAGCTAATTTGTATCAAAATTGTGAAGGTATCTAAAACAGCTAAATGAAATTTTGTTCTAATTTCTTAAAAACTGAAGGACTAATAAAATATTGAAGAACCACTAAAACAAAATCTAGATGGCAAAACCCCAAAGAGGTAAATAAACATAGCATTTGTGGTTGCTTTTGCCTTCAGGGCATTTGCCAGTCCAGAAGAACCCAATGGGAAAATAAGCTGTGGTTTTGGAGGCAGTGAACACAAAGAGGAACAAAATTCAAAGTTCTGGGCCTATATAAAGTATAAAGTTTACTAAACCACACTCAACATACATTAAGCTAGGACTCTAAGGACTACACCTTCAGGGTAAGGATGAACCAGAAACAAACTAGCTTTCTTGGTATACATCACCAAATGATCCAGGGGAACTTCAACCCCTGTACTTAGTTAGGTTACATTAAGTCCTGGAGTGATGGTACCCAAGGCACATTTTAGAAACATAAATTCCTACTTGATGGCCTCATATTATTCCGACAAGTAAGTTTTTTTAAAATCTAATGACTAGTACCTAGTCATGAGTCAGAAGCATGAGAGGCTACTGCTAACAGAAACAAACCCACCAAGATTTCAAATATTGTAACTGTTACTTCTAGACTACAGTTGACCCTTGAACAACATGGGTTTGAACTGTATAGGTAGACTTATACAGATTTTTTTCAATAAATACAGTACAGTACTGGGGCACCTGGGTGGCTCAGTCGGTTAAGCATCCAACTCTTGATTTCAGCTTAGGTTATGATCTCAGGGTTGTGGGACTGAACCCCACATCAGGCTACATGTTCAGAGTGGAGTCTGCTGGAGATTCTTTCCCTCCCTCTCTGTGCCCCTCCCCCATACATATTCTCTTTCTCTCAATAAAGTCTTTAAAAAAATACAGTACAGTACTGTATCTTCTCTTATGATTTTCTTAACATTTTCTTTTTTCTAGCTTACTTCATTGTAAGAACACAGTATATAATACATATACAAAATATATGTTAACTGTTTATATTATTGGTAAGGTTTCTGCTCAACAGAGGGCTATTAGTAGTTAAGTTTTGGGGAAATCAAAAGTTATATGCAGATTTTCACCTTACAGGGATTCACCGTACACCCCTGCATTGTTCAAGGGTCAACTGCATATGTTTGCCATATTAAAGAAGTTCTAATTTAGAGCTTGAAAATGTTTTCAGGGAACAAAGAGCTATAAAAAGTGACACTGCTAGGGGCACCCGGGTGGCATAGTTGGTTGAGTGTCTTACTCTTGGTTTTGGCTCAGGTCGAGATCTCAAGAATCCTGGGATCAAGCTCTGTGACCAGCGCCATAGCCAGCTTGGAGTCTGCTTGGGATTCTCTCCCCCTTCTCCCTCTGCCCCTCCCTGTCCACACATGCACGCCCTTGCTCTCTCAAATAAATCTTAAAAAAAAAAAAAAAAGTGACACTGCTGGTTTTAAAAAGAATCAAACAGAATTTTCAGAAAAAAAGTAACTGAAATTATGAACTCAACTGATGAGTTTTAACAATAAATCAGAAGCAATAAATTAGAAGTGTGTTTACAAGATAATAAGTAATTGGAAGGGTAAAGGTTTTGCTTTCTGTAATACAGTGCAAAAGCAATTAAAAAAAAAAAAAGAGCATCAGCAAAAAACAATTTCCCACTGAACCCAGAATGGCAAATCTTATCATAAGCCACTTCTCAAGGTAAAAATTACAATTATAGCACCCATCGAGGCTTACTTCAGCTAGATGTTTTGGAGTCCCCAATTCCAAAGTACAGCCAAATCCAAAAGTTATACCTAACTAGGGATTATACCATATATGACAGAATAAACGTTCCTGTGAATTGATTTGCTAAAAATTTGCAGATAGTCTTTCCAGATCTTTAAAAAAGCTGTTTGTTAAATACTGATTATCCATTCTGTAAGTCCTGACTTTTCTCACACTAGTTTCTCAACCTGGGCACTATGATATTTTGGGATGGATACTTGTTTTGAGAGGCTGTCCTATGTACTGTGGATGTTTAGCAATATCCCTGGCCTCCACCCACTATGCCAGTAGCATACTCTAAGCCAGAAGAATCTCCCAGGTGTGACAATCAAAAATGTTTCCAGACATTACCAAGTGTCCACTGGGAAACAAAATAGACACCTGTTGTCTAGCTGTCAGAGAAATTAAACTAAATTAGGGAAAAAAAACCTTCTAAAGTCAAGTATAGTTATTTCTATATATCAGGCATTAGATCATTATTATTTGAATGAAATATGAATAATCTATTCATGCTAGACATATTTCAGTTGGATAGCCTATTTCCTACTCTATTCATTTTGAAGATTAAATAAAAGACAGAGCCAGATTAAGGGAGGTCAGTAACAGAAATTTTAAGCTGATTCATTTTTTAAATTACTGACATTTCAACAGATCCAACAGTTACTGCTTGTTTTCTATGCATCTAGACACTATTACCTATATGATATAACATAACTGGAAAAGTCTTAGGAAAAGTAAAACATTTCAATATATTATTTTGGAATTCTTAATATTTGTGCAGAACTGTTTAGCTGGTAAATGTTATACAGAGAGCACAAAGAGGTTTTACTATTATAGCTTAATCATCTTTGAGTATATGATTCATAAGAAATGATATAGTTTATTGTCTTCCTTTCCCTCTCATTTCAAATTATTAGAACATTCCTCTAAAAATTGAAAGTTGAAGGACTACTTTTGTGATATGCCCTTCCTCTGATAATCTTATAAAATTGGAACCATGACCTTATGACCTATTTTCATTCCTCAACTATATGGTCAAGTAAACACACTGTTTATGATTTTTAAAAAATCATGCTATCAAATGTTTAACAGGCTAATAAAGAAAAATATCCATAGTTTTTAATAGATAATAAGGCTCTTACCTACAAGCAACATTTGGATCAGCATTTCTTGAAAGCAGTAGCTCTATACACTTTAAAATCTGTTCCTCTGAGCCACGTGCAGAACATGCAGTTATCAAAATAGTCTGCTTATCTGTAGTGAAAAGAAAAGTGAGGAAACGCCTCCACACACATCAAGAAGGTATCTTTTTTTTACCATTCAAAAGATTCTAAATTTTTCCTGTACTCTTAAAATTTTATAACCTATTCTCAAATCTCTTACTCTTAGTAGATACCTTTGTCTACCTGTCTACCTTCATCAAAAAATGAGATTAGGAATGAACTGCCTTAATCTCCAAAATATATCTAGGGGCACCTGGGTGGCTCAGTTGTTAGGCATCTGCCTTCGGCTCAGGTCATGGTCCCAGGGTCCTGGGATCAAGCCCCACATGAGGTCCCTGCTCAGCGGGGAGCCTGCTTCTCCCTCTCCCACTCCCCCTGCTTGTGTTCCCTCTCTTGCTGTGTCTCTGTCAAATAAATAAATAAAATCTTTAAAAATATATATATGTATCTATAATTCATTTCTTAATTTCCCTTTTTTATTCCCTTTCCTTTAAGAAAATAGGAAAGTGATAAGAACATGAAGGCTGTGTAGAGATACTGCCTGGAGTTGAACAGTTTTTGGTTGAAAAAAATTTGCTTTGCTGAACTTGTAGGTGAAAAACAATAATTGATATTCTCTGATTTCACTTCTTTATTTCTCATTCATTTGACATCTCAGTGAAATTTTGGTTTTTATCCAAATCATCCTATTGAAAATGACCTGCCATATCCATTGGTTTCTTTTTGGTCCTTTTCTACTGGATCTCACTGAGCTCACCCTGTTTCCTAAAAACTTCTCCCCTTGGCCACTATGGCACCAAAAGGAATCACAGATTAAAAAAATAAAAACACCTTTCAGGTTAAGAATTGGGGAATTCAAAATAGGTCATGGCAGCTATGGTTTACATCAGTGGTTTAATACTGATCAAGTATAAAGATTCTAGTCCCAGTTCTGCTACTGATAAACTGAGTCCAGTGATACTTTAATATCTCAGTAGACCTAGCTTATAGATAGGAAGCTGCCCTCTTTACCTGACGGGGCTATTGCTGAATACATAAAGAATTTATATGAACATGCTGAGAAAAATATAAACTGTTTTATAACTAAGTATTCCTCTGATTACAAAAAGCAGAGAAAGAAAACTATTAATTTTTTTAATTTTTTAAGTTTTTACTTAAATTCCAGTTGGTTAACACATAGTGCTATATTAGTTTCAGGTGAAACTAATCATCACAAGTGCAGTGATGCTGCCTTCCAAAGTTGAAACAGGTGCTCATCACAAGTGCACTCCTTAATCCCCATCCCCACACCCATCTCTCCTCTGGTAACCATCAGTTTTTTCTCCATAGTTAAGAAAACTATTATTATTTTTGAGAATATTTTATATACTTTCAGAAATCTCATTCCTAAGTCCAGCTTTCATTGGGTGATATTTTAAAATGACATAATAAAAGAAAAATGTATTATAGAAACAGATTAAACATTAAACTACTGAAAAGATGGGAAGTTATATAAAATACATAGATGACAAAACAGAATAGAAATGGTTTTACAAACACCTAATGTAGGTACAAAGTAAATGTGAAAATTAATTCTAAAGTGAAATTAATATCTGAATTATGAAATGAATTTAACTGCCTATTGGAAACATGTTAAAAGTAAGTAAGCAATAATTCAATATAATAATTAAATTGGATTTGCACATATACTCTTATTTTTCAAAAGCATCCAAAGCAGTACAGAGTAGGAATTATCTAATAACAAAGAAACATATGGATTTAATAAGCTATCTTTGAAACAACCTTAGATGATATAATTCAGAGTTGAGTTTTAAATTCTAAAGACTGGTTTTCAAGTAATTTTTGACAAAATTATCAGCCTTTTGTTTTCTTTCAATGCATTTTTCCTTTAAAAAATAACCAAACCCTCTAGCATAGAAATTAAAGGTATATAATAACATAAGCAGTTATTAAGATAATATAAATGCAATCTATCTTCTTGGAGAGAGAGTTCCCCCCCCAAAAAAATCTATGGTTTTTAATTTGATTTTGTATCTTAATTACATAATATAACTAATAGGAAGGCTTGTTTTTTAAACTGCTTTAACTTTTTTCACTTTGCGTAATAGTTGCTTGGGAATCAAGAAAATCACAGTAAACAAAATCAGTTGGGTTACCTCAACATCTTACCTTATCTTTTTTCAAGGACAAAGGCTTATTTTAATGTATAAAAACAGAACATGGAAAGTGTACATCACCACCCTTAAACATTATAATTAGGCTTCTAAACAGAGATACATACAAAGTAAATACTCACATATTTTAAATGTTTAAAACACCTTACCCTTATCAAAGCTTGCATTAGCACCTCTGTCCAGAAGGGCCCGAACCAGCTCTACATTGGAAACACTAGCAGCATACATAAGAGGAGTCCATCCATACCGAAAGCTGGAATCTACACTAATGCCTGTCAGTATAAAAAGCAAGTTTTAACAGCCTCCTCCACCGAAAGAAAAATCATTGCCACCTTCATATGCTTAAAGTACTGTGCATAATAACATATACCACGTAATTTATAACAAAAGGGAATTTCTTGGTAATAATGGCCTAAGTTTAAAAGGGTCCACACAGTAAATGATTGTAGCTCAAAAATATTCAAAGTAACACTATATGGTTTGGGGATAATATATACCTAATAAAAATATAAGGACACACATAGGAATGATAAGTATCAACTACAGCAGAATGGTTATCTCCAGGGGTAAGGAGAGAAACTGCTATACCTTTTGGAATATATGAAATATTTAGTAATTTAAAGAGAACTGAACAGGTGCGCCTGGGTGGCTCAGTTGGTTAAGCGACTGCCTTTGGCTCAGGTCATGATCCTGGAGTTCCAGGATCGAATCCCACATCGGGCTCCCTGCTCAGCGGGGAGTCTGCTTCTGCCTCTGACCCTCTCTCCTCTTGTGTTCTCTCTCTCATTCTCTCTCTCTCAGATAAGTAAATAAAATCTTAAAAAAAATAAAGAGAACTGGGCGCCTGGGTGGCTCAGTCGTTAAGCGTCTGCCTTCGGCTCAGGTCATGATCCCAGGGTCCTGGGATCGAGTCCCACATCGGGCTCCCTGCTCGGCGGGAAGCCTGCTTCTCCCTCTCCCACTCTCCCTGCTTGTGTTCCCTCTCTCTGTTAAAAAATAAATAAATAAAATCTTAAAAAAAATAAAATAAAATAAAGAGAACTGAACATATTAACAGATTAACAAAAACTGGAGATATCTTTCAACTGTTAGAAGTGGCTGACTCAAAGGGAACTTTCGTTTTTTTTAAAAAGATTTTATTTATTTATTTAATTGACAGAGAGAGAGACAGTGAGAAGAGGAACACATGCAGGGGGAGTGGGAGAGGGAGAAGCTGGTTTCCCGCTGAGCAGGGAGCCCAATGCGGGGCTTGATTCCAGGACCCTGGGATCATGACCTGAGCCAGAGGCAGTCGTTAACCAACTGAGCCACCAGGCGCCCTGGGAACTTTCATTTTTTATCAAACTTCTCAACTGGTGCAGAAATTGCAGAAATATGTATCAAAACCAAGCATAACTTTGGAAGGCAAAAAACTAAACATATTTTTTAAAGTGTGAAATAATGACATCTGGAAGGAAACTAGGAAACGCTAAATTAAGAGTTACCTGTGGAAATAAGACTTCAGGGGTACTGGGGGAGAAAATGGGTACAAAGGTTATCTTTCTACTTATACCTATATATTTATTATTGGCTTCTGAAAATTAATTTTTAAAATGTTTGTAATTAAAAACAAATTCTAAAAGGTTGACTAAATATCTACTTCACCAGAAGGTCTTTTTAAGTCCTAATCTTTCAGGAGCCTCCATCATTTCACTGCACCTAGTCCTACTACAAACTCAAGCCCCAAGGCAAATTCTCTTTTCTAAAACAAATTTCTAACTATTCCATCCCATCCAGCACTATGCACACTCCTGCATGTGTTCATATTAGGTATTAAGCCTGTTTCAATTATTCAAATTTTATTTAGTTTCATTCTTCAATTTACAAACTCAAGTTCCACTGTCCACAAAGTCACACAGATCCTTCTTTTTTGTTACAACAGCTAATATTTATATAATGTCTGTATGTTTTAGATGTTTATGTATTCTTTCACTTTAATACACCCCCAAACCCTCTGATATTATGCATTCCCATTTTTAAAAGGGGGAAATTGAAGCTTAGGAAGGTTAAGTAACTTGGTCGGATTACAAAGCCATCAGGTGGCAGGGTTAGTAATCAAACCCAGAACTGTACTGTTTCCAAAATGATTCCTTTTCCACTAAATCATGCAGTGTCTCTAGCATAAAAGAAAAACATTTTGCTATATACAATCTCATTTATCTACTCTGTGTGAATGTTTTGGATTTACAAATAAATAGTAAATGCCTATTACTCCTTTGGATAATTTCAATCATTATTATCAACAACTCACATTCCCACATCAGGTAATTAAAAAAATTAGTATTTACTTTGATCACAGAAAAATGTTACAGGACCCTGGACAGAATTATGACGTTTTACACAAAGAAACTGATGCATTGGAAGTTTAAATGATTTTCCTAAGGAACCACAACTAGCAGGCAATAAAGCTGGAACAGATACCCACATATTGTGATTCCTACCTCAGGCCCCATTACACAGACACCTAGCACAACAAAAGAACATAACTAAAATATACATAACTAGAAACAATTCTGGAGAAACATGTAATAATACTATAGACAGTAAATGCTGAGAAAAATGTGTAAGAATTACTCGAGTGGGGTAGGATTAATCAGAACAGGCTTCTTGAAGGAGGTCCAAGAACTGATGGAAGAAACAGGGTGGCATTCCAAATTTGAGCGTAGAAGAAGAAAATAAGGCAAAGAAAACTCAGAATCAAGTAAGATATATAGAACACTTGCTACATTAACATTCATTGTGCTTCCACTAGAAAAGCAACTCAAATCTTTTAAAATAAGGAACCCTTGTAAATGTAGACAATCGTGTTAGGTTGAAACTATCCCTTATCTCTCACCAGAATCTAGGAGCTCCTCGACCAATGAAATATCTCCTGTGGTCAATGCTTTTTTAAATGTTTCATTCTTTTCTTCAGGGAGTAATGGCCCTTTTAATTTCTAAAAAGGAGAAAGTTAAAAAAAATTGTTATATTTTCATTTCCACTACATCAGAAAACAATGACTGGTTTCAGGTACATCTTCTTTAGGGGGCGGAGGGAGTGCAACATACAAAGTTCGTAAGGAATTCATGTCTAAAATTATCTTTAAAGGAAATGGTAATACTATGGGTCCAAACCCAAGTGAAGAGCTACATCGACGACCTAAAGAAGCAATTGATGGAAAGCACAAAAGGGAACAGGAAAACTCCGGGTTTGTTGGGAGTCTAGAAGCCTGTATTTCCACTACGGAAACAGGCAAGCAAAAGGTTTCACGAGATTGGGCCTTCAAGGGCCAAGGGGTGCTGATCCAGGTGCGGTCAAAAAAAGGCCTCCTGGGCTACCTGAACCGTCCGATCGAGATAACCAATCTCCCAGCCGTCATCCTCGCTCTCGCTACTCTCGCCTCCACCGGCCACTGCCAGCCCACGTAGTGCACCAGCCGCCATGCCCGCCGACCTCTCCTAAGCACACGGCACCGCCCACCCGCTCCCCCGGCGCCTGCGCACTGGGGGAGCACGCAGGGTTGCGCGGGAAAGCGCGCGTGCGAGCAAGAGGCCTTGCGCCCTTAGGCGCAGGCGCGTGGGCATGCGTAGTGGCCCTCACCTTCCCTCTATCCAGCGACCCGCCCTGTGGTCTAGGGAGGTGGAACCCTGCCTAACGTGATAGGGTCGGTGGTCTTGAAGCTCCGGATGAGGTTCGGGCGCCACGCCTCTAGCCACTGCTTCCAATTCCTTTCAGGGACTTACTCTTCATTCTTTTTAGGGTATTTGATGAAGTTCTTGCTCTTCAGGGAATGCCCTACTTTCGGTGGAGCATAATGGGGATTAAAATGCCAAGTAAGACTAGGCTTTCTCCCTCATCCCCTTCAAGCCGCTCCCTCGGGATGAGGAAGAAAACCTGTCTAACATGCGACCCCCTGGGAAAGGGACAACTCTTGGTCGGAATACAGATAGGAGCACCATCCTTGCATTCAGAAAGCCGTCAAACGGGAGCTGACAAAGGAGCCAGGAGAAAATACCATCCCAAAGGAAGAATTCTTTTTCCTTTAAATTTCATGTGACCTCAGATCTCAGCTTAGATTTGGAAACTTCAAAACCATCCAAACACCTTCCCAGCTAGACACTGGATGCCCTAAAGGAAAAAGTCAGTCGACAAAGCGGGAGTTTGGGGAGAGAGTGGATCAAAGTGCTAGGAAGAAGAAATGATTTAAACGTTCAGAGAGCAAGTAAATAATACAAACAACTCCAGGTGAAAGCCGCCCAACCTCAAACTGGCTTTTCTGCATCTAACTTCTGGATGAAATGGTAACAAATTAGTTATCTTTGCCACAGAAAATTAGATCCATCAAGAAGTAAGTCACGTTTGTGTCCCTCGAGATGATTGCTTTAAAAGATTTGATTTATTTATTTGACGAGAAAGAAAGGGGGGGAGCACAAGCAGTGGGAGCAGCAGGCTCCCTGCCTGAGCCACCCGGGCGCCCCCATCAAGCTGATTTAAAAGGAAAATAGCCATACACCATTCTTTAAAAGTTTTTGTTGTACTTTTTTTCTTAGAGAATCTCCAATATAAGATTTTGAAATTGTTTCCTTAAGACACTTTCACAGATAAGTATTTTTAAGTAGTTAAGTTATTTTGGGCCCCACCTCTGTTTTCTAAATGCATTCCTTCAATAAATGTTAAGGATTGTTGAGTACAACCAGGCACAACTAGGTTTGGGGAGACAACATCAAAGCTAAACCGAGCTGCCTCAAGGAGCTCACATTTTAACCAGGAGAGACAATAAGCAAGCAAACAAATAAATAAGGTTATTGCAAATTAGAGGTGCCACAAAGAGGTAAGTGTGCTGGGTTTCTGGAATCAAACCACTTAGGTTTCCTAGCCAAACCATTTATTGCTGTTAGCTGTGTGCCCTCTAGCAATTTAGCCTCTTTCTTCTTTTTCACTTTCCTAATCTGTAAAATGGAGAGAATGATAGTACTCACCATATAGCGTTGTTTGAATAAAGTAAATAAAGTCATGGGCTTGGCATAGGGTTAGTCTCAATGTAAGAGGTAAATAAATTTTAGCTACGACTATTATTGTTATTTTCGATAAGGTAGTTAGACCGGAGTAGAATTCTGAATGACAAGGAGCCAGCCATAAAAAGTCAGAAAGCAGAGCGTTCTGGCAGAGGAAATGGCTAGTACCAAGGCCTGAAAGCAGGAAAAAGCTTGCACCCAGGCTTGAGACTAAGATGGGCAAGTGAGACTTCTTTAAGCTGGTGGCGTCAAAGGCAACCATACTGTTTTGCATCACAAGCAAAATTTAAGGAAGCACTTTCTTCAGGAAGGACCTTGTAATTCTTATATTTTGCATCTGGGCACCTTACTTACTTCACCTTCATCCTTGCCCTGCTTGGACCAGAAAGGAGGCCTGAGGCTGGACCATCATGAAGGAAGGGGTGTGTAATGAGAGGACCTTATGGAACTTAAGTAAGTAGTCTGGATTTTACTTTAAGAACAATATAACATTAAATATTTTTCAACTAATGAAAGACATTCTGGTGTGTGTGTGTGTGTGTATTTGAAGACACTCAAACTCTTTCGTAAAGAAGGTTTTTGTTCTGAGCATTTGGCTAGTTAGTGGTACCACTTACTAAGATAGGGGAAGACCAGAGGATAAACTTGAAAATGAAATGAGCATCTCAAAATTAACATATTAAAAATGAAACACTGAAGTGTAGCTGTCAAGTGGGTAGTTGGATGTTCAAGTATGGAGCTCAGGAGAAAGACTGGTCTTAGAGATATAAATTTGGGAATATTACCCATATTGTTATTGTATATGCATATTGATTACACACAATAATCAATACACATATTATTAAAAGCAAGATTTTTCTTTTTTGTAAATATACACGCTTTAGATTGAATGTTTGTGTTTCCTTTCCCCTAAAATTCATATATTGAAACCTAATCCCCAAAATGATGGTATTTGGAGGTGGGGCCTTTGGGAGGTGATTAGGTCATGAGGGCAGAATTTCATGAATGGGATTAGTGCCCTTATAGAAGGGACCCCAGGGGCCCCCTTGCCCCTCCCACCATGTGAGGACACAACCAGATGCTCTATGAACCTGGAAGTGAGCTCTCACCAGACACTGAATCTGTTAGCACCTTGATTTTGGACTTCCCAGCCTCCAGAATGGTGAGAAATAAATTCTCTTATTTATAAGTCATCCAGTCTGTGGCATTCTGTTAAAACAGCCTGAACAGACCATGACAATAGATAATTTGAGAATTTATGTGGAAAGACAAAGGAACTAGAGAGCTAAAACAATTCTAAGAGAGAGGAATAAAGTAGGAGGAATTTCTGAACTTGATTTTAAGTCTTAATGTGTAGTTACAGTAATCAGGACTGTGTGGTATTGAAGAAGGGGTAGACACATAGATGAATGGAACACAACAGAAAAGCTAGAAATAGACCCACATAAGTAAGACCAAATGATTTTTGACCAAGGTGCAAGAACAATTCAGTGGAGCTTCCTTAATATCTTCAATAAAGGATGCTGGATCAACTGAATGTCTGTTAGGTAAAAAAAATGAACCTATCTAACCTTCATGTCTTCTATTAAAATTAACTCAAAATGGATCATGAACACAAATGTTCATAGCAGCATTATTCCTATTAGCCATAAAGTGGAAACAACTCAAATGTCCATCAACTGATGAGTAGATAAACAAAATGTGATATCCATACCATGTATATTAGTTTCCTAGAACTACAGTAACAAATTACCATAAACTGGGTGGCTTATAACAACAGAAATTTATTTTTTCACCATTCTGGAGGCTAGAAGTCTGAAATCAAGGTGTCACCATCACCATGCTTTCTCTGATGATTCTAGGAGAGGATCCTTCCTCACCTCTTCATAACTACTGGTGGTTGCCTGCTGGCAATCTTTGGTTTTCCTTGCCTCCTGGATGCATCACTTTAATCTCTGCCTCTATATAAGGCATTCTCTTCTGTGCGTCTGTGTCTCTGCATGTCTGTGTTTTCTAAATTTTCTTCTTCTTGTAAGTCATATTGGATTTAGGGCTCTCTCTAATTCACTGTGACCTCATCTTAACTTGATTACAAATAAATTCCTATTTCCAAATAAAATCACATTCACAGGTTCTGAGTGGCCATAAATTTGGGGTAGGGAGGCACTCTTTAATTCAGTACACTATACATATTGCTCAGCATAATGTTTTCCAGATCTACACCGTGGTATGTTCTATACTTAATTTTCTTTTTATGTTGAATATTGTGTGGTATTGATTTCAGAAGGTGATTTCAGAAGGTGGCAGGATCCATTGGAAGGTTACTACAATTGTGGGGCACCTGGGTGGCACAGTGGGTTAAGTGTCCCGACTCTTGGCTTTGGCTCAGGTCATGATCTCAGGGTTGTGGGATTGAGCCCTGTTTCAGGCTCTGCGTAAGATTCCTCTCTCTCTCCCTCTGCTCCCCCTCCCTGCACACAATCTCTCTCTCTAAAATAAATAAATAAATCTTTAAAAAGAAAAAGAAGGTTACTGTAATTGTGAACTGGAGAAGGACAGGAAAAATGGAGAGGAGAGGATACATTCAAAATTTATCGTGAATTGCAATCAATAGGATTCAGGGATTGTATATGAAGGATGGGGAGAGAGAGAAGTCAAAGCTGATGTGGTAAGAACACAGGAAAAAGAAAATGTTTTGAGGAAACAGATAAGTTTTGTTCTGCCCAGAGACAGTCTGAAATGCCTGAGGAATATCCATGTCCAGATAAGATCAGGAGCTCCCCAGAGAGGCCCGGACTATCAATTTAGCCTTAGAAATCATCTTCCTAAGAGGTAATAATGGGTCTATTAGAGTGATGATATTGTTACAGGAGAAGGGATAGGATGAGATGATCGAAGGGCCAAGAATATCCTTAGGGAATGACTTCTTTTAGGAAGCCACCAGAGAGAGAGAAGCAGCAGAGGGGCCTGAGAAATAATAATCTTAGAGGCAGAAGACTAGGAAGAAATCAATGCCTCAAAAATCTTACACTGAACTAGAACCTAAAGATAGAACAATGAAATCAATAATGATAAATTCATTTTACTGTACTTCCTATAGGCCAGTCACTGTTCTAAGGGCTTTACTTATACAAAGTCAGTTAATACTCTTAAAGCCCGATTGAGGTACATACTATCTCAGTTTTGCAGAGGGGGAAATGGAGGCCCAGAGAGGCAAAGTCATTTTCTTGAGGTCATCCACCTGGCAGGGCTGGGATTCTAACTCAGGAAACAACTCTGCAGTCCATGCTTTTAGTCATTAATTAGTATCTAATACTGAGGTAGCACTTCCCTGTGCCCTGACACTCATCTAAACATTTTATATCCATTAACACGCATAATCCTCACTGTAACTTTTTGAGGTATGTGCTATTTTAAAGACACATTAT